TGAAGGTGTGTTTCCTGAGCTGGCAAATGAAACCTGTTTGTCACATCGAAGTGTTGCAAGGCACTTCATATGTCATATAACATCTGGATTCAGGCTAAGCGTTGCTTCCTGCCCGACATCTACAGACGGTAATGGGCGTCAAAAGCCTTGTGTGTTCAGATGTTTCCCGAACATGTCTCACAAATTCCCTGCGGGCAGCGCTATTGAGCCGTTGAACCGAACCGCGCAGCTTTTGGGCTCAGTCAGAGGAGGGCTAAAACAGCATGGCTTTGGAGTACATTGCGTTTGTCAGGTCTGGCCTTGCAAGTTCCAGGCCATTGGCATCTTGAGTTTCATCCCTCTCGAGTCCAGGCCGGCACTGTAGTGATGCTGGTTTGCGAGTGAAGCCTTGGGCTTGCTATCTTCATCTATAGGTGGACATGCGACCCGGCGCCTGTGCTTGAGTCTAGGCCGGGATGCTGATTCGCGAATGAAGCATTGTGCCCACTATCTTCATTCATAGGTCCACGCACGATCCAATTCAGCCCAGTGAGGCCACCTAGGCTGTCACGAAGGCCATACCTTTCATTGTAGCCTGTCTGCAGACAACGCAATCCGGCCAGGAAGAGGTGCCAGCACGGTGGTCCAAACTGTGGCTTAGTTTGTCAGTCCTTCGTTTTGATGCTGCGTGGCCCCTCGAGCGACCCTCCACAGGACATACAGAATCCTCACCGCCGGAGATTGCAGAGGCAATCTCACGAAGCACTAAGTGCCCCGTAAAGTTAAGAAGCCTGCCACCATGTTGCGTTGCCAGGCTGATGTGCGGCCACCAGATTCCCAGGCGTAGCAGACAGTATTCGTTGCTTGGTTCTTGTGGTTTCGTGAATTGCAAGGAAGGAGCCTGCAGTTATGTGCGCGTTGCCAGGCCAATGTGCTGCCACCAGATGCTCAGGAGCAGCAGACAGCAATCGCTTTTGGATTTTTTTGTGAATTTTGGGGCTTCTGCAATTACGTAGGGTTTCAAAACCGTTGCAGGGCAGAAAGAGTTTTGCGGATCAGCCCTACGAGAGGACCTTGAGTTGTTAGCCATGCCGGAGCAAATCCGAGAGGCACAGTGCCATGAATACCATGTTTTTTCCATGTGGCTGCTGAACCAGTGCTGTCTGCGTTTGGCAGGCGTGTGCTGGAGACCTGCCTGGTGCTCAAACCATGTTTTTGGCCTCAAGCGTTTCAGAGGGTAACCGTGATGAAAATGATTGGCACCATGCAAGATGATTCTTGTGTTGATAAAGCTTGGGCCTGTTTGCATTACCAGTCACCCACTCAGGCACTTACGGGCTCATGCGCTCGCTCGCTCAATCATTCATGTTAACTCATTAACTTACTCTCTCACCCAGCCATCCCCCCCAACCCAACCGCGCCCACCCATCCTCCCACACTCTCGCTCGCGCTCTCGCAAACGGCGACGGCCGCCGCAACCGTCACAACCACAACAACCAGCAGTAGCAGCAGCAGCAGCAGCAGCAGCAGCAGCAGGCAGTAGCAGCAGCAGCAGCAGCAGCACCACCACCACCAACTACCACCACCGCCCAGCAGCACCGCCGCCGCCGCCGACGCAAACACCACAACCACCGCCGCCGCCACCATCACAACCACGACCACCGCGCTGCAACTTCAGGGACCATCATACGTTCCCTGTGGAGAATGTGGGCACCACCAGGTGCAAAATCCAGAGTGGTGCATCAGTGACCCTGCCCAGGTCAAGATTGTTAACGTTCTGGGCTCGGCCTTCGAGAGCAGGGTGAAAGGAGCAGCTAAAGGCAGGAGGAGGCAGAGGCAGCGTATTGCTGCTCTGCTTTTCGGACTTGCAGTCCATTTCCGGCCCCGCCACATTAATTTGATTGCACAGGTTGATGACCTTGGCTGAGTTTAGCTAGGAAATGAGAACAGGGCCAGCCGCGCCCCTGCTGGGACGTGAAAAAAGCGCCTTTCAAAATTCGGGCTAGAAAGGTGTCAATTGCGCGCGGCTTCCCACTGAATCCCTAACTCGTGACACCCTGCACACGGTGCACATCCGAAGCCCTAGCCTAAACCCTTAGGAATATAGTCAGAGAGAGACAGAGAGAGAGAGAGAGAGAGCTGATCAGAAGCCAGGCTCGCGCAGCTTCAGTCGTTTAGATTAAAGAGGCCGGTAAGGGGGTCCAGCCTCAGAAACCCTAGCTTTCGAAGCTTGGAGACAAAAACTGCGTGCTCCTGGGCAACATAATCAATTGTGTGAGGGACCCGGGTCTCTTGAGGATTGGCAGCCAGCTTGCCTCTCTACTTGTTGCTATTGCGAGATGAAGCAGCTGTGGGGTTCGAACCACACCACAAAGCATGAAAGGTTGACAGATGCATCTATGACCGCTCCCACAGCTCGACACAAGCAGCAAGCGTCTCTGGCTTTGAGTGTGCTCCAGTGGTGTAGGTGCTTGCTTTGGCACGCTGCGATGGCTTTGAGCGACGTGCCCTCAGTTCTTGGAGCCGTGGGCCTGTTACATAACATGGTGCTGGTTGGCACTTTGAGTTTGAGGTGACGCAGCGGACCTTGAAGAATTTGCTGGAGGCCGCAGCTGCCTGGTCCTGCTGAAAGCATGCGCCCAAGTCCGTGCGCCGCACGTGCAAGCTGTCCAGTTCTTGAACCAATGGCTCATGCAATTGGAGGGCCATTTGAACATTTGAAGGCCACCCTGCAATTTTTGCTTTGACAAGAGCGTGGTCACTCTAGTTTCGAGGCTTGCTCTTTGATGGGCGAGAATTTTGGCTCAGGGCCCAGGCAGGATTTGATGATGTTCTAATCAATCTGTAGCCGCCTCTCATGGCCAGGACGACAAAGCGTTCCCTGGACTCAACAAATGGCCGAAAGGCGGGTCGATGCACATCGCTGCATCTCTGGGAGGTGAGTGTCGGTAGGTGAAGCAACAGATTTTGCAGTGTGCCCAGGCAGTTCGTTTCCTCAATGAGAGGTTGGAGAGAGTAGAGGCCAGTGCTGAAGGCAGGAATGCTGCATTTGGATGATGTGCTGGCCAACAGGCTGTGACTGCAAAGACATCTCTTCAAAGCGCTTTGATGCTGGCAATTTCTGCGACTTGAGATTTGAAACAGCGCGCGGTTTTACGCCTAGTTCTCTGCGGCAATCCCATGAAGTATCATTAGCGATGTGCGCAGCGGACCACTGCCTGCAAGCTCCCGTGAGGCAGTCTCCTGCTAATCGCTTTGTCGATTCTTGTCTGGAAGGCGTTGACTGCCACTGATCAATGTAGAAAGCAGCCATTTCTAGACATGCGCATGGTCTCCATGTGGAGGTGCAACAGCTCGTGTG